AGCTCTCCTTTTGTTATTATTTGTATGTTATGGTTTTTATATGCTTTTATATTCTTCCTTTTGGGGTAGTTGTATTATTTGATCATATTTTTATATAACATGTTAACCTCAGTTTTGATTGGAGACTTTAATCAATTTACAAATAGCATAACTTCTACTAAGGTGGGATTTAGACCTGCCACCTGCTGTTTGTTTTCTGTGTGTCTCATGCCTTTCTTGTTACTCTTTTCCTCCATTACTGTTTTCTGTTACATAGGTATTTTGTAGTGTATCCTGTTAATTTACTTTCTCATTCTTTCTCTTTTTCATTATTTCTCATTCTCTTTCATTAACAGTGAATTATAATTTTACTTTCATCAATTATAACAACAAATTAAGAGACACGTTCTATTGATTTCTTTCTTTTGTATGGGTCATATTTTCTTGTTTCTTTACATTTCTCACAATTACCTTGGAAATATGGATATTTAAAACAATATAATAAAGCAAATCTGAAAGTCTGATGTCTTACCTGCCACATTTTGTTGTTATTGTTCTTGTTGTTTGTTTAATTTGTTGTTTTTTAGTTCAGTGACTTTTCTAGACCAATTCTGGAGTCTTTATTCTTGTCATGTATAGCCATTGGATTCGGTGTAATGTCAACTTCATGGTCAGTTAATGATCAAAAAGAGAATTCCTTAAATGCCTGCAATCACTAAATCTCCCAGTATTTGTTGAGGGACTTGCTGTTCCTGTTGAGGATCACTATCAACAAAACCAGGCAATTGACAACTCCGTCTTTGTCTTAACTTTCTGCTTTCATAGAGCCTCAACGTCAGCCAGAGATGAGAGCTGAGGGCCTTTTAGGTCTTTCCAGAACATGTGTGTAGCCCTGTGCAAGTATATGTCCATCCAGATTTGTAGGAAAAATAGGAGTATTTCAAAGCCAAGTTCTAGGGACATCCCATTCCCCAGAGTTTGCTTTTAGCTTTTTGGTTAGACTTTTGAGCCCCAACTGTTATATGCTACCTCAGGCAACTATAAAATTAAAATACTTACCTCTCATTTCCTCCATTTCCTAAGTTGTAAGTGATTAATAGGAATGAAGGTGAGCAGAAGGATAAATAAATTACATGTTACAGGTAGCCTGTGGGCTCAAGTGCTTGCAGGGAAGAAGGATTTTTCCACTGAACAAGGTATTAAAGTGGTGAATTTCAGACAGCCTTGTAAGTGGGCTTTTTTGGGGAAACACCAGACATGTCAAATAATGACGATTATTTGGTAATGAGGTTTTGAAAGAGCTCTGTTTTCTTCTCATTGCTCTGGCTGCCATGCTGGACTGCTATTTTTCAAAGTTGTTATGGATCTGGAAGTGGGCAGTGGGAATAGGACAAGTTAAAAAACCATAAGGGGAGCCTGGGGACTCAGTCAGTTGAACATCTGACTCTTGATTTGGGCTCAGGTCTTCATTTCAAGGTCATGCATTAAAGCCCCGTGTTGGGCTCCACTTTGGGTGTGGAGAAGACTTAAAAAAAAAAAAAAAAAACCAGAAACAAAAACGCAACCAAAACCCATAAAACTCACTCGTTGGTTTTGGTTTTTGTTTTTGTTTTGTTTTTCTTCATTGCCTGAATGGAGGAGTAAATTTTCATTGGCATTTTTGTTGATATCACCCTTATGCTTATGGTCAAATTTTATGATACATTAAAGTGATTCCTGTAGCTCTTCATCAATGAAGCAGGCTTAAATTGAAATGGCCGCATTCATTGATAAATTACCAGCAATTTTAAGAGTTTACTATTTGAGGGTGTCCTTTAAGACATATAGTTTTAGCAGATATTATGTGGTGGTGTTGAGCTTGTTAGTTTAATGAGTGGGTATGAGACAAAACTTATGATTTAATGGAAACAGAATTTAATAAATAGAAAGTACCAACTGGAAAAAATTTATACTGAAGACTATTATTTCCTTTCTGTTATCTGAACTTAGTCATATTTCTGTCATAGGTGAACACACTTTTGCCTTTCCAAAAGTTTTGACATTTTAACCTTTGCTTCAGTCCTTGGGCCTTGTCATGATGATCCATTTCTGCAGCCTGATTTTTGGGGAAATGTTCTTGAGCACTGATATTATCTCACTGTCAAAACACTCACACTTTTTAAGTTCCTTTGAGCCAGTTGGTTGCTCTATAACATGCAATAGGATTTATGTCCCTTCTGCTCACACTCATTCCTATTAATCACTTAGAACTTGGGAAATGGAGGAAATGCAAGGCTGCCTGTCAATAGTTGAAGAACGTGAGACTGAAAATTCTACCTTATCTTTCCTGAGGATCAAGGCTGCTGGAATTCACTGCCAAAGTTGTTGGATTTAGCCCTTCTGACTTGATTCATGGTTTTTGTTGCTTTCATATTTTATATGCTTCCTTTCTTTTCTTTTTTTTTTTTTTTTTTGGTCATCAGTCTTGGTTTATTTTGGGATTTTATTTCAACACTTAGCCAGCAACTGAGAAAAAAAAATTTTCTTTGAAAGCCCTTTAATGTAAACATTTAACATTATCAATAAAATCACACTGCTTATTCTTATTTTGTCATTTTGATAGTTAACGCTTTACCATGAGATTATTTGAAATATGTTTTAAAGATATGCTGTGCACTTACTTTTATGGATACAGGCATAAAATGGGAATTTATGAGCCAAATAAGCAAACCAAGATGAATACAGTAGAGGTTAATAGGAAACTTATAATGGTGATAGTGATGTTTGCGTATATGTGTATAATATGATTGTTGGTAGGCTACTTCAGGAGTAACAGGAGTATGTGCCGAATACATTTGGTACATTTTTGGTTATCAGCTTCGTAAGTCTCTTCTCATTGGTTAGAAGCAGCAGTAGGTTGGGGTGTAGGATGAGGGAATGTACATGCGGGAAAAACTTACACTGCCAAGGATGTGCTTCTTTCTTGTATACTTATAGACAGGATGACTAAAGTATTTTGGAGAACAAGAGAGAGTTTTCCATAAGATAGTATTTTTCTCTAAGGAACAGCTTCATCAGTTAAAGAAATTCTATATTCACACTGTAGGGAACAAGGTAAAATTGAGTGTGCATTTCAAGAAATACTTCGTATTGCCACTACATTGTTGGAATTAAAGGTAGAAATCAGATGTTGGTGTTGGGTGCATTTTGAACACTGCTTTGTTTTCTCCCATAAGAAGAAAGTTTATTCCTAGACAAGTGTCAAAAGATCTCAAGCTGTTTCTGAATTTAAAACGTTACCTTTTGGTCACGTGGGTGACTCAGTCAGTTAAGCATCTGCCTTCAGCTCAGGTCATGTGGGGTCCTGGGATAAAGTCCTGCATTGGGCTCCCTGCACTGCAGGGAGCCTGCTTCTCCCTCTCCTTCTGCCTGCCACTCTCCTGCTTGTGCTCACTCTCTCTCTCTCTTTGTTAAATAAATAAAGCCTTTTTAAAAAAATAAAACTTTAAATTTTCAAAAAAAATATTTATTTATTTATTTATTTATTTAGAGTGTGAGCAAAGGGGCAGAAGGAGAGGGAGAGAGAGAACCTCAAGCAGATGCCACACTGAGCTGGGGTCTCATGTGTGGCTTGATCTCACTACCCTGAGATCATGACTTGAGTTGAGCTCAAGAGTTGGATGCTTAACTGACTGAGCCACCCAGTTGAATACTACTCATTTGTATTGCTAGTAATATGATTGCAATAACACTTATTTAAATGATAACATGATATATAGTAAATATAATAACTCATTATGTTTATTTGATTATTCATTTGCTTAGCATTTGCATTACCTTCTGAACATGAAGCAAGAGCAAACTAATGACTGTCCACTGTATTACGTGATACCAGCTCTTCATCTAAGTCATGTTTATATAATTATTCCAGGGAGTACGTTCTCAGAACGGTCTTCTTTATTGCAGGGGTTTCAGTTATGGCTCTGACCATATTTACAGCAATCAATAACGCCATTATTTTCTGCTAATTAGGGTACAGTTTTGAAAGAGGTGTAGGGAAGAAGAGGTATCTTAGGTTGCATAATTTTACTATTGATTCTCTTTTTTTTTTTTTTAAAGATTTTATTTATTTATTTGACAGACAGAGATCACAAGTAGGCAGAGAAGCAGGCAGAGAGAGATAGGAGGAAACAGACTCTCTGCTGAGCAGAGAGCCTGATGCGGGGCTCGATCCCAGGACCTGGGATCATGACCTGAGCTGAAGGCAGAGGCTTTAACCCACTGAGCCACCCAGGCGCCCACTATTGATTCTCTTAATGATGTGACAATTAAATTTGATTTCCAACCCAGCTTTAAATGACCATGGAATAACTTGGTTGATAGGTTATCATAATCATCCACATTATGTTTTCATTCCTTTTGACAAATAACAAGACACCAAATAGAGTAGGACACAGTTAGTTCCCCAATTATACACTATAACCGTGTCAAGCATTGTAGGAAATTATGAAAGCCCAAAAAATGTCCCACACTTATGTTCTAGCCCTTTAATAATAATGGTTCTCTGGCAGGGTAGGGTCTTCACTGCAAAATGTGGGACAGCATCAGGGCTCTGCATCATTTTCTACGATCACAGGGAAAGCTGGGACTCTTTGATCCAATTGTTTCTAGAGCAAACAATGATCTTCTTTGAAGTTTTCATTTATTTTGGTGGGTGATGCCAGAACAGTATTTTCCCTGGATACTGTCTTTGCAGGGCTATAACTTTCTGTGTTGCAGGAGATAAATTAGGCCATGACTGCAGCTCATAGTAGTGTTATAGGGAGTATAATCACAATAAGATATTTCTCTGGGGAATGCAGTGATGTAAAACGATCAGTCAGACCATTTGCAAAAATAAATGGTGTGGTTAAATGTTTTATTCTTGAAACAGAAATATATTGACCTAATGTGGATATGGACCTAAATTCTTACTGCCTGGTATACTAAATAAATTTACCAAGGATTTCTGTCAGTAACACGCTGACTGTTGTTGCCCACAGCCCACTTCCTCTCACTGGTCTCCAAAGGGAATTCTACTTCCTCAGACTTAAGAAGCAGAATCTTTCTTCCGACAAATAACCAACATGCTTGTCAGGTATTTGAAAACACACAGCATTTCAAATACTTTTCACATTTGAGAAATTCTGTTTTATAATCATTCGGACATTACTTATTTTTCACAGATTACATTTTATTACTTCTCCAGCCAAGTGAGTAACAAGTTAGTGGCTGGCCTTCAAACTACACGTGGTGGTCCCATTCAGCATTTATGGCAAAACACAGTTGGGCTCCGCAATCAGTGGGAGAGAAATGTCATGAACATCGAGAGCAACCAGAAATTTCAGGTATGCATGTTATATTTTCTGACTATGTCATTGAAGGAAAAATGGTAAAATATAGGTCTTTAACTGATGTAGGAAACAAAGGCAGAAGAAAAGTTATTAAATTTCCTTACTCCCTACAGCCTATTGACAAGTCCTCAAAACAGGCAGAGTGACATTACTCTAGGAACTCAGTTACCTTGATGTTATTTGCTAATGGGAAGAGGCAGTCTTAGCCTGACCCCCAGGACCCTGTAAGTCTATTTTAACATATATAAAAATTCCTTTGGAAATAACCTTTATCTCTACCCCCAAGATACATGTTGGCAATCATTCTCCAAGCGTATGGCCCACCAATATACATCTGAAGGGTCTCGTGACTCAGGTTTTATTAGACAGTAATAAATGACCTTTCCCAACAACAGCTAGCCCCCTCAAGTCTGGAAACCTTGCTTCCAAAATTCCTTAGAGACTAACACTATCCCTAACTCCCTCCCAACTTGAAATGATATAATAAGCCATTCCTCGTGACCACAGTGTAGCCCTTTCTACCCATGGGTTTTATCCCCATGCTTTAATAAAACTGCCTTTTTGCACCAAAGACATCTCAAGAATTCTTTCTTGGCTGCCTGGCTTCGAACCCTAATATCTTTCCTATATCATTAATAATAGATGAATTAAAAATAAGATGACCAGTGTCCCAGTTGGCCAAGGACTAAGGGATTTGCCAGGACTGTCAAGCACTGAAACCAAACAGTCTCAGGAAACTGGGATGGCCAGTCACCCTAAAAGACACTTTTAAAAGACGGGTTTAAATGTTATGTATAAAAACTAAAGTTGATATATTTTAACATATATTTATATATCAGTAAAATATAGCTTCCTAATTATCTTCTTAATTTCTTAAATCCCCTTCATTTTCTATTTATTTTACTATTCCAACCTCTTCTTTTCATTTCTTATTCTTAAGAATTACTTATCTTCCAAACTTTTCTCATGCTTATCAGAGAACAGGGTTATATTGGGTAATGAGGAAATAGACTATTTGATTTAAATACTAATTCCAAATGCTGTTGAAGTAGAATAATTGTCATATTCATCTCATGGCTAAACTCAAATTATTCAATACAGCCTTTATTTTCCAAAATAATTTTGAGAATGAAAGCCCATGCAAGCCTATAAAAGGCAAACTTATTTATGCAGCCTAATAAAACTTATGTATGGTGGAAATTATAATCTCATGATTTTTACAGGAGTTCTTGGTAAAGCATTGCATATTTTTACATTTGAGAGAGCTGAGAAAAATTTCCCATTAAAAACAGGATCTTAAAGCATCTTATAAATTTGCTTTTTAAACCTGGCTTGCAGGCTGATTTAGCCATCTTGGCTAAAGCAGGTTTCCTTTACTGTCTGTTATTTGAATAGTATAATAATCAATTTTGTAATTTTAATACAGAGTAGAAAATCATCTGCCATGTGATGGATTTAGCACTTGCTTAACTATAGGGATTGAATTGGTTTGAATTTTAACTTCAGTTCTTTTGAGTGGCAAGAGGAAGGATGGGAGAATGAGCAGGATTTCTACTATAAAATTGAATTGTAAGCTATAAGAATGACACATTTTCTTAATTGATCTGTCATAAATTCACTGTAGTTTGAAATTTCAGGTTTTTGTAAACTAAATGGGGTTCCAAAGAGGATCAGAGAAAATCACTTTGTAGATGGTTAAATGACACCTAGATGAGAACACGTTAGAGGAACTGTATGGCTGGAAACATAACTCTGCCATTTGAAGCTTTGCATTCTATTGAAGTCAGATATATTGGTGTGGGGGCTGCGTGGGGACCACGGGGTATCTTAAGCCATCAGGCATTCATATCCTCCAGTGAATGATTGATTAATTTATTTAACAAAGACTCACTTGGGGCACTCAGGGTGTATCAGGTGGGATTCAGGGAATGTTCCTAGTACATGTGAAGAAAAGAATTTTCTCCCAGCTTTATTGAGATATAACTGACATATGTGTAAGTTTAATGGATGTAATATGATGATTGATGTATGTACATTGTGAAGTGATTTTCACAATAAAGTTAGCTAACATATCCATCACATTGCAAAATTATAATTTTTATCATGCAGTAAAAACATTTAAGATCTACTTGTCTTTGCAACTTGGAAGTATATAATACAGTATTATTAGCTATATTCACCATGCTGCTTATAGATACTGAGAATTTAGTCATTTTATAGCTGGAAGTTAGTGCCCTTTGACCAATATTTCCCTGTTTCCCCTACCATGCAGACCGTGGCAACCGAAAAATTACTCTGTTTCTATGTTTGGCTTTTATAGAGTCCACGTGTAAGTGAATCATAGAGTATTTATCTTTCTGTGACTTATTTCACTTAGCATAGTACCCTCAAAGTTCCAGCATGCTGTCATAAGTGACAGGATTTCTTTCCATTTTTGGCTGAATTATACCTTTGTATGTATATACCACATTTTCTTTCTCCATTCATCTGTTGATGGACACTTGGGTTGTTTATGGCTTGGCTGTTGTAAATAATGTTTCAATAAATATGAGAGTGCAGATATCTCTTTGAGGTTGTGATCTCAGTTCAATACCCAGAAATGGGATTGCTAGATCATATGGTAGTTCTATTTTTAATTGTTTGAAGAACCACCATACTGTTTTTCATAATGGCTGCACCAGTTTCCATTCCCACCAACAGTGAGTAAGGTTTCCCTTTTATCCACATCCTTCCAAACACATTATCTCTTAGCTTTTTGATAATGGCCCCTCTGAGAGGTATGAAATGGTATCTCATTGTACTTTTGATTTGCATTTCCCTGATGATCAGTGATGCTGAGTATTCTTTTCATCTACCTGTTGGACCTATTTCTCTGTCTTCTTTGGAATGTCTACCTTTGGAATGATATTCTCTAACTATTTTATATGTGTGACTTTTTTTCGCTATTGAGTTGTATGAGTTTCTTATATATTTTGGATGTTAACCCCTTATCTGATAGATAGTTTGTAAGGGGGGCAGTAATGATAGGCATGTGGAAGGAAGACTATGTGTTTCTGGATTTGGGGTGCGTGTGTAGACTGAGAACTCTGAGCAATTTATTGTGGATTTTCAGGTATCATTAACCACTAAAGAAGTTTTTAGTTTCTTTTTTTTTTTTAAGATTTTATTTATTATTTATTTGAAGGACAGAAAGAGAGACAGCATTAGTGGAGGGGGGGAGGGGCAAAGGGAGAGGGGGAGACAGGCTCCCCGCTGAGCAGGGAGTGCAATGTAGGGTTTGATCCCAGGACCCTGAGATCATGACCTGAGCTGAAGGCAAATGCTCAACCCACTGAGCCACCCAGATGCCCCTAGTTTATTTCTTAACACTTCTCTTTTTTTCTCCCCTATGTCTCTCTGTCTTCTCTCAATAACAAAGCAAAACAAAACAAAACAAAACACAAGAGCAACAAATCGGAGCCAAGAGTGCTTTTGAGGGGACTGAGTCACAATGACTGGACGCTGAAGGATGAACTTGCTGAAGCCCCTTCTGTCTGTATGCTCACATAACTTTAATGACTGAAATGGGATTTTGTCTGTGTATAAACTTTGTCAGCATTTACACATCCTTTCTGACTCTGAAGCAGAGTGGATGGTCAAAGAACCCTAACCTATCTTTTTGCCAAGCTTTGTGCCGTCCCATCTCTGTCTCCAACTCAAGGTCAAGATCTTCATGGGTAGGGTAGCCAGACAGAGATCTGGGCATTGGGTAGAACTGGAACCAGCTGAGACTTGTGTGTTAAATCCTTAAAAACTACTTCCTTGTTTTTTTCCCAGCCATCCATTCCCAAGTGGCCCATTGCAGGGGCTGATGATTAAATATGTGTAGCAGCTAACTATAAAACTGCAAACTCCCAAATATATCACTGCAGGGGCCGCGGGGCTGTAGCTGAGGCAGCGAGGTTATTCACTTGAGTGCTTTAAAATGAGTCAGTGGCTCCAGTGAAAGCAGATGCCTGTGCAGTATATTAAGTAGTTTGCCAAAATACTTTATTGCTGATATGAAAACAGCGCCTCTACCTTAGAGGCTTTGTAAAACTTGGGAAACCGTATGACCCTCCTGGGATCCTTTGGCTACACCCGTCTTTAAGATCGCAGGCATGTGTTCATTCTGTCCTGTCAGCAAGGGAGCAGGTGTTCACATGTTTTTGCTTAGCTGAGCCACAGAGACGCACTGTGCTTGTCACACTTGCCGCCGTCCTCGCGTAGCTTCGTCCTGCAAGAGCTTGAGTGACAGGCTTACTGGAGGGTGTTTTGTAATCAGCGTCTCCAGGCAATATCTGCTGCCTCATCAGTTTATAAGCCTCCGAGAATTACTCTGTTTTCTGCAGTTTTCCCTCCATGCTGCCTTTGGACCGTTTCAAAGCCTTTCATGCTTCCTTTAGAGATGTCCAAATAGGAAATGGCAATTTCCCCTGGACCAGGGCGTAGCATGGGCTTCTGAGAAAGTCTCTGTCATGTGGGGGCTTTGTCACCTTTATGTGTACAGTGCTAGGTCCACGCCTTAATGAAATGAAGCTCGTTCATTTCTGAGGCAATACTGCAACCTGACAAGGAATTGTGTTTATGCATCTAGTCAACAAAGACAGCAGCATTTAAGAAAGTTTCTGAAGATGTTTAAGGAGTAATAACATCTAGGATTTACTGAGCACTTACTACCCCATATAATGCACTGCATTTAGTCCTTTGTATATATGATTTTATGGGCCCTGGATAGCAGTCTTCTGAATCAGAACTATAATTCACAAGCTTTGGAGAATGAAATAACCTATTAAACTCCATCCAGATTAGAACCCAGTATAGTTTGATTTCACATCTTAATCATTTACTCACTGAGCCATGATCATTTCTTTATCATGTTAAAGCATTATAAGGATTAAAAAAAATGAAAAAGCATTATAAGGATTTATAAAATATAGATGGAAAAATCCAACTTCTAGATTTGTCCAAATATGTTGCAGGTGACTCATTAAACATTCTTTTGCCTGCTGTGTTGGATAAAACAACATTTTTATACATTATTCTGCTGATTAACTGCAATTGCATTTCTCAGAATTGTAGATTTAAGCAATTCATTTTGCTGTTGTCCTAAAATATTTGCAGAAGCAAATAATAAACCAGGCCAAATATATAGCAGAAATTTAGTCTCAGATGCAAGTAAAACCTTCCCTCGCTCTCCTTTTCTTTGTTCTTGAAGGCACTTTCATATTGGCTTTATGGGTAGGAAGGAAGGAATACTGTATTACTAAGTATATCATTGACCGTGATTTTCATGTCAAATGTTTGGATTCTCAAAGTTAATGAGAAGTCAGTGCCTGAATTTTAAAATGATATCAAAGCATTTTTTATATGCTATTATCTGCTTGTCATTTCTTTGATATTCCATTTCTACATGCCAAAGAGTTCTTAGCAACCTTGTATTCAGAAACAATAGATTTTATTAACATGGACGAAAGAGAAGTACTCATAAAAATAAATACAAATCATTAAGTTAAAAAAATCTACTCTCAAACTCATGATTGGAGTCTTTTTCCCTTATAAGTCAAGACTATTTACTGTGTGAACCCATGATGGCAAAAAATTACAGTCATCTTTTTGCATTTCACATGTTTGCTTGAGAAATAATATTGAATGCACACTACTGATTAAGAAAACTTTCCTATGATAAATCTAACTACTAGAGTTTCTGTTCATGCAGTTACTGGTGTCATCCAAGCAAGTTTATGGCTATTATTTAGCTACTGTCAAAGATTCGTTGAAGATTTAAATCTTGAAGGCTTGAACGCTGACCCCTTGCCTCCCTTAGAGGTCATCTTCTCTTAAAATATTTGGGGTGAAAGCAATTTGTAAATTATTTACTGTTGATCAGTGCAGCCCTTACCTGACTTCTGTGATGTCGTTAAACTTCTAACTTCATTATCTGTATTATTTTATTTGCTAGTTTGCTATTCTTTGCTTTATTTTTCCTAATGCAGTTAAAATGAGGTGGGTGTTTGGAAAAACTTATTTACCAAAGTTTTGGGGAAAACAAAGAATGCTAGACCTCACTTTTCTTAGAAATACAACTACCAAACATAAACATGGCTTCTGACCCTAGACCTGGCTTTTTAAAAAAATCCTCTTGAGATTCCACTTTCTTGAGCTGGTTCAACCCATCCTTCTTTTCAGGATCCCAGCCAAAATCTCTGGAAAGTCTTTCTATTTAAATATATTTAATTTGAGTACTGCATTATGTCTGATGGGTCTTAAGTTTTATAGCTACACAGACCCATGGGTGAATTTACCTACATTTAGAGAAATAGTGTTCTCCCTAAGAAAAACGTTTCCCCTTGCTAGACCAGTGGGCTCAAATGGTAGCTAATTTTCACACTAACTTTTCTTCAGTTAGACCAAATTAACATATAATTTAATTGAATCAAACAAATATACATATTGCAAACTTTGATGGAGAGAATTGAAGGTGAGAAGGTCACTTAAAAGCCTTTTCATTAGATCAGGAATGAAGATACAGGGAGAGAAGTTGGAATGGAAAGAAGAGAAGGCTTCACAGGTCTTGATGGTTTGGGTGTAGGGCTAGAAGAGAATGTGATTCCTCAAGCCACTTTGGAGTTTTGAGCATTGAAAAGTGGCAGTCTTCTGGTGCCATTGTCAGAGAATGGGAGTCATGGGAGGGGAACAAATATGACTTATAGAAGTGACTTTTGTCATCTGGTGAAAATGTCCAGGAGGCTGTGGAGATATGGGCAGAAAGCTTAGAGAAGTGGATGATGTTTGTGATATAAATTTGTGTTTCATCGGCTTGGGTGACAGTTTAAACCCTGAAGATCAATGGGTTTGAGAAGAAAGTGTGGAGAAAGAAGGAACAAACTGGTGATTAGTTCATGCTTATCTCTCCTTCTCTCTTTAAATATGGCTACCACTGGTGTGTCCTTAGCTCAGCAAAAAGAGGTGAAAAGATTTTCAAGAAGGATAAATCTTAATCTGTAGAGAACAGATTTTTTATCTATAAACACACTATTCATACAGTGGCTTACATACTTTATAATAGCTCGGTGTTACAATAATAGGTAACACTTATTTAATGCTAACTGTATACCAAGTGCTGATAGACATGTAATAACTCATTTATCTGTGCATAAATCTTAACATATAGGGAATAGCATTATTATTTATTTTAAAGATTTTATTATTTATTTGAGAGAGAGCTCACTTGTGAGAGAACATAAACTGGGGGGAGGGGTGGAAAGAGAGGGAGAAGCAGACTCCCCGTCGAGCAGGGAGCACAAGGAAAAGGTCAGATGTGGAGCTAAATCCCAGGAGCCCGGGATCATGACCTGAGCCAAAGGCAGACGCTTAACCAACTGAGTCACCCAGGCACCCCAATAACTTATTTTTATCAGTGCCTTTTTACAAAGAAGGAAACTGAGGTACAGAGATGTTAAATAACTTCTAATGACCTGTTGCTATTAAGTGGTTTAGCGAGGGTCTGAACCCAAGTAGTCTGTTTCCAAACACATATTTTAATCATTGTGCTCAACTCCCCTCAGATAAAATCATTCCTGTGTAAGTCTTTTCTTTCCCCTCTGAAATGGCTCAGTGAGTTAGCCTCTGCCTTCTGCTCAGGTCATGATACCAGGGTCCTGGGATCAAGCCCCACATCGGGCTCTCTGCTCAGTGGAGAGCCTGCTTCCTCCTCTCTCTCTGCCTGCCTCTCTGTCTACTTATGATCTCTGTTTGTCAAATGAGTAAATAAAATCTTTAAAACAGAACAAAACAAAAAAGGCAAAACAAATTTGCAACACATTTTTAAATGTTTGTAAATTGGGTCACAAAAGGGATGCAAAATGTTTGCAGTATAACTATTATATTCATGCAGCTTAAGTCATTCATTGAATCTTACACCAGTACAAACATAAGGTTATTTCATGACTAAGAGTAGTCCAAATTTGGGCACCTGGGTGTCTCAGTCAGTTAAGCATCTGACTCTTGATCTCAGTTCAGGTCTTTATCTTAGGGTCCTGAGTTCAGACCCTGTGTAGGGCTCTTCCCTGGATGTGGAGCCTACTTAGGAAAAAAAAAAAAAGAATTAAAGAAAGAGTAGCCCAAGTCTAATAACTAAAACTGTATTAGTATCAGAAGTAATATTAAAATGTTAAATGGAAAAGATATCCACTAATTTTCTTTCCAAATGAAATCTACAAACTAAATTTTTAGAAACTGTAAAAAGAATGACTAAAACTATAAACCAAGCAGTTAGGTTTATAGAAAATTCTGGGGAAAGTAGTGAAATAAAATACTGAGAAAATAATCAATTAGTATGCATGTAAAACACTCCCATTTTAGTCACGATTTTGATACTAATACACTGTAAAGGGATTTTGCAAAAGTTGATCAGCTAGGTGCTACAAATAAACCTTGAGACTCAATTCTCTGTAATTGTTATCTTCTATATGTGGTTTACTTGAGGTTAGTCACATTTCATCTACTTTCCTGTATGTATTCCCAGAAAGATCTAGTCTCTACCAGAGATCACACAATCTGTAGTACAATCATTTAGAGATGGTTACTACTGTTTGCCAAGTACTTTTGCCATCCTATTTCTATTTTTCCTCAAAATTTTCTTTTTCAGATGTATAACCAGCACTCATCTTTTCAGGTGCCAAGTGGATTATTTGGTCTATGCAACAATCTTTGATAGGTCTTTTCCAGCATTGTCCTCCTTTACAAGTAGTCATGTGGTTATTATGTTTTATGTGATGAAGACTCTCTTAGGGCTACATGTTGACCTATCAATCAACAGGTTGTGGATGTTTCACATTACATTTTCAATAGTCTATTAGATAGCATCTTGTTTGAAAGGAAATGCATCAGTATGTCATGTTGTAGAGAGAATGTGGTATGGCAAAAGGACCTGCTAGGGTCTGCTGTGTGGAGATCAGCTGTCAAGCTAAAAAATAAAATGTTTATATTATAAATAAGGCTGAACAATGCACATGGTTTAATGCATCTATGAATTAAGCCTCAAACATCACTGGTATTCATTAGTGAGGTTGGGAATAATGCTCTCCACCAACACAGCAATTTTCTGTTGATTTAAGTAACTAGGAAATTAGAGAGTAGTTTCTTCCTAAGTTTCTCAGATTTATTACACCAGAGTATTTCCTCTTGGTGCAGACTTGGGCTGGATTTACATCACAATATCACATTCACTCATTTTTTTAAAAAAGTTTATTTATTTGAGAGAGAGAGGGAGAGAGCAAGAGAGCAAGAGTGAGCGTGATGTGGGGCATGGGGGCAGATGGAGAAGGAGAGGGAGAATCCTCAAGCAGACTCCTCACTGAGCATGGAGCCTGACATGGGCCTCAATCCCAGGACTCAGAGATCATGACCTGAAGGAAAATCAAGAGTCGGACACTTAACCGGCTGCGCCACCCAGATAACCCTCACATTCACTCATTCTAGTAATAAGTCACTGCACAACCATTTGTAGTCACTGTCCCAAGTTTTGTTTAGATAATGGCAGAAAATGTACAGAAGGATAGAGCACAAGGACAGCAAGGCAAGCCTGTGAGCAAAATTTAGAGAGCCAGAGGTGGAAATGTGGCACAGTTGCAAAATGCCAAGAACCAGAGATCAGGATGGAGCTGGGTCCAAGAGCTGGTAAATACTGAATAGTGTGAACACATACAAACCAAGCAGAGATGATAAGATGGCAAAAACCAGATGAATATTGGTTCATTTCACTAACATGTTATATAACCTATGGTAGACATTTGAGATAAAGAGATGACCAATTTTCTTGTCCTTGAAAATATATGTGTGGATTTCTTTCCGCTTGGAAATGTCATGGTCGCCAAAGTGTTTCTAGAACTGGCATGTTTTTTTATCTGTAGGCTCTGTGCTATAATATTCCTTGCTTTATGCTTTTGTTTTGTTTTTCTTATGAAGGTTGTTTTTCAAGGTCAAATAATTTCAACTCCTGAACAGGATGAAGTCATAGCTATTGACGATATATCTTTCAGTTCAGGCTGCTTGCCTGCAAATGGTAAGAACTTTTTCTCATTTTGATCCTTACTGTGTATATAAATTCAGTGCATTTTAAACATTGTGTAATGACTTTCATTCTTTGAATGAAATGAAAGCATTGTGTATGCTCATTCATTCGTTCTTTCTTTCCGGCCTGATGTTTTAAAGTGGGCTATTTTACATTGTATAACATTGTCTAGGTTTATGCCAGAAGTTAAAATAAGTTGTTTTTTCACTGGGTCTGATGCTGTTAAGAGTTGAAGGGATAATTTGGTCTCAGATTTGAAACCTTGTAGCAATGTTTACACTGGCTAGTTAAATCTCACCAAGAGAACTCCTTGCCCCTTAGGAGAAAAGTGAAAACTGGCTTCTCCAGGCTTGAAATTGTCTTCTTGGTGAATTGATTTGACTCTTCACTGAAAGACACAACTGGAGGGAGAGAGATATTAGTTAGAATCTATTTTCTATTTAGACTGAAATAGCTAGATCAATAATCCACATATATCAGATCTAAAAAATTACTCATATTCGTTCTCTGATTGTATTAACTGAATTCTATTTACCATGCATATTGTTCTCAATAGAAAAGTTTAATGTTAAAATTATGAATTGGTCAGGATAAATTAATTTAGTCTAATGATCATGCAAGAATCATATATATGATTATAGATAGTTGATAGATTTTTTCCCTTTAAAATGTTATTATACTGTAGTATGAGATAGCATAATATAGCTACTTTGTCAAGAGGATTCTAAGTTCTAATTTGATACAAAGATATGGTAGTTGTGGTAAATTATATTTCGAGAACAGAAGAGATGAGTTGATCTACCTAAAAGAGACCAAGGAGTCTTGATAAAGGATGCCTGTATTATGCTTCGATTTTAAACAGCACTTCTGCTGGTAGAAGAGCTTTATAGGAATGCATCTCTTGACACTTAGACAAGATGGTAGGGTTTTATAGGAGACAGCTCCTTCCACACTAGAACACAAAAAGCTTTCTCTCATCTTTATATTATCAGTTATCAGTATATTTTAGCTAAGAAATCACTATATGGTAAATTGAAATATAGATAAATTGAAATGGAGAACTAAGGGAGCAGACTATAAGGTCCACCCATTCCTAGAAGTAAATAGTTGAAGTATAAACCTCAATGCCTTTTCACCAACAGAAGGTAATATTTCTAGGATTTATCAGAAGGGAACCAATTGATCAGGAGAGAATACACTGTTGACCACAGGCAGAGAAGACCCAACTACTGACTGCTCTGCCGTTCAGTCTCCCCTCATGCTGTCTCCTCTGTTACCCTGGATGGTATTCCTGGATCCAGAGCGCGGCTTATAATGGGACAGTTTGGTTTGCTTGGTTTGTAATGGGGCAGCTGGTCCCTAACTGTGAGCACTTCAGCAGTATCTTTATATATTACCTTTTCTTAATAGTTTCTGCAGAAACTGAGATCTGCCAAACAAATTGATCCCCAGCTAGACATGTGTATTGCTCAGTCTAGCTAATCATCCCCAAAAGAAAATAAAGAATGAAATCAGCTATTGGCCAGACTTTCCTAACTGTAGGGAAAATTAGGACCTGGCCTCTGCCTCTAAAACTTTGCATTACAACAAAGAGGAACATGCTGGGGTTGGGCTTGGGACTTTACATTGCCTGTATTAGGACTCTGCTGTCATTTCACAGATGACCTTTCTGTTCATCTTTGGATCTGGGAACCAAAGCCATTTCCTTAATTCCTCATGATCCATCTACTGGGACAAAGGCCAGTGTAGATGGACCATAATAAATATTCAGAAGACAGATGCCAGATTTTTAGTAAGCACTTAAAAGAGCTCTATAAGATCACTATAGAAGTGAAAAAGCAATAGTCACAGGAGTGAGAGCACAAAAAGTTGGACATTCAATGAAAGGTCATGGTCAAATAGAAAAAATATTGGTGTCTATAATTTCTAAGACGATAGTTCCAGATAATGTTACAGCCATATTGTTTTTGAGGTGGTGTGGAAATAAAGTTTACTGAAGATAAGGCTTGAATTGTAAAGCAAAGTTACAGGCCTTTCACATGGATATTAAATTTATGCAACATTACAAGTTATGGGGCTAGAGAAGATTTTGAAATCCCAAACTGAAGTCGTCCATGAATAGGGATGCATGGATGACCCAGGGCAATAAGTTGGATGTCATGAGTCAAGATGTTTTTACACATGGAAGAATAAATGAATCAACATCGGGGATTTAGAAGAATGGCGACCTTTAATTTTAGGCCTTGTATTTATTGGGGCATTGGGAAAAGATATCATCCCTCTGGAGATTTGCAAAAGTCTCTTTTTGGAAACGCCAGTATCCAGATAAGGTCACAGAGTATGTTCTTTTAACTTGAGGGTGCAGGGAGTTTTGTTTTATTGTTTTTCAAATGGAATGAGGGTCGATGGCATATTTAAACTTTTGGGAGGAAAACAAAGCAACATGAGGTTTAATAATGGAGAAAAAGAATAAAGTGTAATGGAATAGGATTGACATTTGGTTGGAGTTGCATTTTGTAAATGGTAGGAGTGTGAGAGATGATAATATTATGTAACATTAAATTTCCAAATGAGGGGCGCCTGGGTGGCTCAGTGGCTTAAGCCTCTGCCTCCTGCTCAAGTCATGATCCCAGGGTCCTGGGATAGAGACCCACATCGGGTTCTCTGCTCAGCAGGGAACCTGCTTCCTCCTCTCTCTCTACCTGCCTCTCTGCCTACTTGTGATCTCTGTCTGTCACATAAATAAATAAAATCTTTAAAAAAAAATTCCAAATGATTCTTTCTAGTCAAGTTCAGAGGTTATAGTGATAGACTAACCCTAGTCAATCACTAGAATCAAAGAGAAGTGATTGATTCTGAGCTTTATTAGACTATTAGATGGGGATCACTGAGGATGGGGCCTGCATTTTAAAAAAGGTTCTTGGGACACAGTTTGTGAAACCAGCTGATCTCAGGTTTAAGAACTGAACTAGGATTTGGGGTACCTGGGTGGCTCAGTGGGTTAAGCAATGGACTCTTGATTTTGGCTCAGTTAATGATCTCAGGGTCATGGAGGCTGCTCTCTCTCCCTCTTTCTCTCTCTCTGCCCCCCACCCCCCTGCAGCCCCTGTATGCATCCATTCACTCTCTCACTCTTAAAAAAAAAAAAAAAAAAAAAAAAAAAGGAACCAAACTAGCATTTGGGAATCATGCACCCTGGTCTCATGCTGATTATTGCACTTGGCAGGGAGTGTCCTGGGACAGAGTTCCAGCTGATCAGAGAGTGGTTTCAGTCCCATGCCGTCCTGATGGTGATGATCAGGGTGCATCTGAGACATGCAGGCAGAGCCGACTCAACCTTTTCCAGACATCACCATCAGAAATCTTACTCCAGTGGAGGGTGGAGTTAGGGATGCATTTGGATGCAAAAAAAAGAGAAGAGTTTTCTAGTTGACTTAAGAAAACAAGAGGAGATGGACAGTTACGACGTAGATTCTTCAACTTTGATACTGTTAAAGTCAAGGACTAAGGGATTTCCTTGGTATTTACTTCATGCCTGTCACCTTATATTCTTAAAATGACTGTTGAGGTTCTATACATCTCACATCCAGGCAGGAGGAAGGCAGAAATGAGAAAGGGCAATGTTTTTGATCATGCCATTGGCTAGATGATTGTCACATGGCTACCTCAGTTGCTAGGCAGACTAATAAATTTGAGTATTTGGATTCAGCCTCTATAATAGAGGCAGGCAAGGAAAACAGGTTTATGAGATGAGTGAGCAAACGTATCAGAATACTTAGAAGTAAATTCTAGCTTTCTTTCAAATCTGTTCCTTGCGTATATTCTCTTTTTAAATTATTGACATCTGGTCTCACTCAGTAGCCTAGGAGATATTCTTAAATCATTCTCCTCTTTTCATATCTCTCTATTAATCTAGTTAAAAAATAGCAGTGAGGGCCTGTTCTTACATTTTTCAAATTGTCTCCTCTTATTTACCATTATTATTTATCCAACTGTGATTCCCTTAAGCATGTATTTTTTTCCCATGGATTTTTAAAAATTCTGGTTTTGATCTATTCAACTCTACTAGCCAGTACTATGTACTGTCCACCAGTTTATACTTTCTAACATACAAATATGACCAATCTCTACTTTTAAAAATATATCAATAACTCTTATCATGTCCAAAATAGAATTCACATTTCTTATAAATTCTTATGATTTCAAATTTCTAAGCTCACAGGATCCTGCTCTTGCACACAAGCCCAACTTCCTCCTTCATAGTCCTCCAAGAATCACCAGACTCTGACCAGAACAGATTGCTTGGTAGTTCAGCAACACAGTGTCATCATCTTATTCTTGGGTATTTTTGTAAACTTTGCTCCCTCTGCCCATTTCATGACTTTATTTATTTATTTATTTATTTATTTGGCTGTTCTCCTACTACTGACTGAGCAGACTAAGTGGAGGTCTCTTTTCTGGGAAGGCTTCTCTTACAGAAAATTTTCCCCAGACTCCCATCCCCCTACCCCCCCACAGATACACACTGTATTGATTTGTTTTTATAGCTAAACACTAAGTTTCTTGAGGAAACAGATACTAGTGTCTTATTCCTTTGTGGATCTCCAGCACAGAGCAAACACTTATTAAATACTTGTTGACTAAATGACTCAACACTGAACATGTGCAATTATTTAAGTATCAAGTATTTGGGAATTTGAGTAAATTCTTCTTTCCTCTGAGCTGCAAGTGTTCCATTTCATAGAACAGAGATTTAAATAAAATATCATGAGACCATTTTTTAGCAGTACTTATATTTATGCTAAGAATATATATTATTTTTTTGCTTTTGTTTTAACATCAGAAATTAAGGTATGTCTTCAAGCTATCTAATGTGATTTTAGAATCTGAGATTTCTAGCTTCCAAAATCATGAGAAGACAAATTATGTTGTATAAGTCACCAGATTTGTGGTGCTTTGTTTTGGCAGCTCTAGAAAACTATTAGAGAGGC